TGCAGATGGGGCTTGACTTTGATATTATTCATTTCTCAAGCCATTGGTAAAATATCCACAGTTATCAGCTCTCGATCTACTTCCTGCAAGACTAGCAAAAATGGACAGGGCTCAACTTCAGCCATTACTGTTGCCTGATTTAAAGGAGACTGGTAAAGAGTTAGGTCGTGGAGCTTATGGTGTTGCTACTGAAGTAATAGTTAGTGAAACAACCTGTGCTGCTAAGAAGCTTCATGATGCTATTGTACAGGTATAAAAGGAAAATGGGCATAAATCTAATAGTGTTACTCCAATCATTTCTATAGGTGCACACTTTGAAAAAATTTGGTGATGAGGTGCTTCTTCACAGTGAGCAAAGGCATCCTAACATTGTCCAGTTAATTGGTGTCTATTATCCTCCTCATTCACAATTACCAATGTTAGTAATGGAGTATCTTCCTTTATCACTCACACAATGTCTGAAGGAAAAAGAGCTACCACTTCAAATGAAGTATTCTATTCTCCTTGATGTTGCTAAGGGTTTGTGTTATCTTCATGGTAAACGTCCTAAGGCTATTGTACATCGTGACCTCACTGCTAATAACGTGTTACTGACCTCTTCATACTCAGCTAAGATATCAGATCTAGGAGTATCAAGATTAGTCGATACCTTTAAAAAGAATCACCTCACTACAGTACCTGGTAATGCTATGGTAATGCCACCAGAAGCTCTTAAAGATAATCCAGTATATGATCACAAGTTAGATGTATTCTCTTATGGTTGTCTCATTCTTCATATACTTACTGGTCAATTCCCTCAACCAACCAACCAGTTTGTACCTGAACCAGGAAGGGTGAAATCTTTCATAGAAGTATCCGAATGGGATAGAAGATTAAGCTACATTGAAGATATACCAAAAGAGAATGAGCTTCTTCCTTTAGCAAGGGATTGTCTCGATGATGCTCCTACTGGTAGACCAGAAATGATTGAGTCTTATCAATTTGTAAAGCAGGTTCTATCAGAATATCCAAAAATAAAAGACAGGTTAGTAGTAGAAAAAGAGCTAAAGGATGCAATTCAAGAAAAAGAGGAAATGGAGGAAAAGCTAGTTTTAGCAGAGAGAAGTATTCATAAATTAAAAGAAGAAAATGCTGCTACTAAAATAGAAAATGAAGATTTAAAGAATGAAAAGGAACAAATGACAGCAGATTAAAAAACTTCATCGTTACAAGTGATAGGCCTACAAAATGTTATTTCATTAAAAGAAAAGGAATTTATTGATTCCACTCAAGTACTAAGAGATGGCATTAGAAGCAGAGTTGACCAACTAGTTGCAGAACTACAAGACAACATGGCTCTACAGGAGGAAAGGGAAATTGAATTAAACAATAATTATTCAACAAAGCTTTCTGAAACGAAGGAAGAATATGAATTGAAGCTATCAAAAATGAAAGAAGAATATGAAGCAAAGCTTTTGACTACAACAGAGAGTTATGAGGAGCAATTGCATAAAGTTCGTAGAGAATGTGAGATTAGAGTAGCAGAAGTAATGAAAAAATTTGCATTAAAATCATATGAGGCACTTGAAAGTACTGTTGTATCAAAAAATGAATTACTTTCATCCTTTCAGTCTGTACCATTAGCCAGCATTCCTTCATATCAGACTCAATTGGAACTGATTCGTTCTTACTTGTTGCAACAACTGAAGAAAGGAG